CGCTCGTCTAAACGCAGAATAAAAAGTGATAACGCAACGCCACTTTTGCGTTTTCTCTTCAGATCGTTTCCGTGTAAACATAGCCTCAATATACAGGTTGTCTGTTTCATTAATGTTAATCAAAAAATTGTAGTAACATGAAAAAAAAAAGTTTAATATATTTATATTTTTCCTATAGATATTTTGGTTTTGATTTTAAGGTATGGTTGCTAGGTGATTTTGTTTTGGAACCTTCAGAAAACTTTCTCGATTTTTCTCAAAATTGACTTTGCTGACTCAATCAACTTCAAACAGGTGTAGCTCAGTCATTTTTGATCCGATTCCAAGAAATAATACATAATTAAAAATTACTATAATAATTATTATTATTTTTAATGTGAAAATAATATAACTACTTTTCTCTCATTTTGCCAGCACGGGTCGTGTTTATTTTAGTTTTAGTTAATGATAACAACATTATTTCCTGTTTGTATATCTTTAAAGGGATAGTTCACTCTAAAATTACTATTGTCACCTGCATGCTACTCTAAACCTGTCTGTTGAGTTAATTAGCAGAATTGCCAGGTTTTCCTGCAAAGTGGATGTTGACTGCAACTGTCAAAAATGACAGACACAATGGACTGTAAAAGTAGTCCATACATCTTGTATTCCATATTTCAAGTCTTATCAAAGAGTCTGATAGATTTTGTGGGGAATTGAATAAAACAAAAAATCAAATGTGGCTTCTGCACTGTTCTATCTAAATCTCATTCTGACATTCACAATACACATAAGAACTTGTGTACTTCAGATGTAGTGCACAGAATTCTAATCTTTTTGAGTGCTCTGTCCCTTTAAGCTATGTAAAAATAATGAGACTAATAATGAAGTATGTGTGCAGGTTCCTTACACCTACTTTGAGTATGATGCCAACAGTAATCTTTGGCCTGGGATCCGGGCAGCGTTTGAAATGACTGACCGTTACCAGCTGGTCAACTCATACGGATTGTTCCGGAGAATGACCGGGGTCGGAGGTCGTCCAGAGGTGGTCATTGAGGGCAGCATGGATCGCAACACATGGACGGTCGGTTTATGAGTATTTCAGGAAGTGCATATAGTGTCTGAATTACAGCACTGATTTGTATGTGAAGGATGGGCTTTACAAAAATGAAATATGGGCTTGTAATTAAAAAGTTGTAGGTTCACACATTGAATCTAATCTGGATCTTAAAGGTGAAGGTCTGTGCGACAGGCAGCCTCAAATTTGCAAAAATACTTTTACCAATTAGGGGTGGGAATCTTTAGGCACCCCATGATCCAATTCTGAATCCAAAACGATTGTTGATCTACCTTTTTTTTTCTTTTTTCTTCAATGAATTTTTGCAGGAGATCGAGTTCATGTATAAGCCGGGGAACATGAGCGCAGCGCCCCCTGTGGTGGCTCCGCACCAGCCCAGGCTGGACTGGCAGATGTGGTTTGCTGCTCTGGGGCCGCAGACACAAAGCCCCTGGTTCAGCAGCCTCCTACACAGACTCCTGCAGGGCAAACACGATGGTAAGGATGCGTCGTTTGTGCATGTGTGAGATTTAAAGGGATCCAGTGCATGTCTGAGCAAGATGCAGTGCTGAATTCAGTGTTTTGTACTTTACTGTTCTGTGTGTGTGTGTTGTGAAGTGGTCAAACTCATTCAGACAGATGAGTCTCAGTATCCGTTCAGCAAACAGCCTCCTGCGTACCTTAGAGCTCACCGCTACAAATACTGGTTCAGCGAGCCGAAAGCAGACGGGTGAGCGCACGCAAAGTCCCACAATGCCTCTTGCTATAAATTGTCAAATGTTAAAAATTACATTTTTATTATCTTGCTAAACATAGTGGATTATTGTTAACGTTGATGTTTAATGTTAGCCTCATTAAACTGTGTTTCCTTTAACTATTAATGTCTTATTGTGTTTGTGTGCGTTTAGTTCATATCCCCAGCGATGGTGGAGACGGGTGTACGTGGAAGAGTTCTATCCTATAGTGCACCTTGGTGACTCTTACCTTGAACAGATGCTGGTTCAACATGGTTTGAAGGTAAGAAACGAGTCTGAATCGGGACACATTTTGAACATTGATTTCAACTATAATCTCACAGGTGAACATCAAACAGACCAGAGTAGTTTTTTAAGAATTTTCTTTAGAGCTGCACAATTAATCCAAATAAAACGTAAAACTCGATATGATGGCTTAGTTTAATTTATCAAATCTTAAATAAATAAATATATGCGTAAATATGTTTCAGAGTGAAGTGCAGCACTGTTCGTTTACACACATGAACGAACGTCTACAGCCTGTTGCCAACAAAAGAGAAGCTTTTGGTGTTTTTCCACCCAAAAAAAAAGCTTGTTTAACATTTGAAAATAAAATGAAGCCATAAATATTAGTGTTGTAATTTTACAGTTTTATTATTATTGTATTACTAAATCTTAAACAAAATAAAAAATGAAACAGTTGTAATATTTCACTGTAAAATAAAGAAATTGAGTATTTAAGAGAAATAATAATAGTAATTATAGTAAGTTGTTATTATTACAGCCATATTGAACAGTCATATTTACAGCAATTTTTATCAGAAAGATCACATTTCATTTTATTTTTCTAAATTGTGCAGCACTAATTTTCATTGAGTTTATAGAAAGCTTAGAGACATTTTTTATAGAGACATTTTATATTTTTGTAGAGATATATTTTGTTGTATGAATTTCTGAACATACAATATATCAAAAGAAAATAAATACAAATATTCTAGTTAATGCATTTTTTTTATCAACACTTGAATGTGGGTAAGTTTCATAATAAAAGCAACATTAAAAAAAAAAAAAAAAAAAAAACCTGATAAAATCGTGTTTTTGTCAAAGACGATGATCAAAACAGATCGAGTAGATCATGTCTGTAAAGCTTGCACAGGCCTATACCTCTTCCTGGGTTGACATTTCTTTCAGTAACATTAGGCAGTTTTCATTCATATGCTGTTGAATGTTTGATTGTGTTAGCTTACATGTGTGTAAGCAATCTTCTATCGTTTCTTTTTCACTTGTTTTTGGATTTGGAGCATCTGTACTATTTCAGAAAGTGCATAATAGCACCCCCTGACGTATAACAGTGAAAACATGGATTGCTGGGGAAAAACGCGTCGATTTGTGTCATAAATGATGGAAAATCTTGTCAATGGTGGGGAAAGAGTTAATGAAGGTTAAATACCATCTCTTGATCTGGTTGAGACCCTCTTCCCATTTTTCCCATCAGGATAAGGCTCCTCCGAGGCGCAGCTCGAATGCTTGGCTGCCGCGGTTATTGCGATATGTTGGAGAACATGCCCGTGAGATGCCAGCTCATCTTCTGCTGTGGACTCTCTTCAGCTCTGCAGCGACCGTGTGTCTCCTCAACTCTCTGCGATCACGTGCACATCATCGCCAACACGAATCGCTCCAGAACCAACACACAGACAAACAGGCCGCAGGACGGACATGCTTCAATGTGTCGGAAAAGAACGAGGAGATACACGAGGAGGAGGAGAAAGCGGAGGTTACAGAAGATGATGCGGAAGAAGGTGGAAAGGAGCAGGATAAAGATGCAACAAGTGAAGAGGAACAGGAAGGAGAAATTGAAGAGGAAGTGAGTGCAGAGGAAACGGAAGAGGACATCCTTAGGAAAAGGAAGTGATGGGTTTTTTTTTTTTTCAAATGATCTCCTGTGGCTTTAAATGAAACTGGACTTTTTAATACCAGCTCAGGGTAATGACATCTACCCCAAAATATCAGCATTTACAGCTTCATTGTGCCAAAACATTGATATTTCTCTGTTTTCACAGGCATTTTTGAGAGATGTAGACAGAGTAGTGAAGCTTTCATGTATCCCAGCAGTGTCCTGGATTTCCCTGGACGTTTAGTTAAACTAATCCTGATAGGAGGACCTCACTGCAAAATGAGGGATTTTTGTTGTTGGTCTGACCGGTAAATGCAAAACGAGGTAGGTTATTGTTTCCCCCAGTGTGCACTAACAGCCTACCACACCCTACATGATATCATGTTAAGTAAAACCCAGGATGTCTTCCACCATGAGACCTAAAAATAACTGTAAAAAAAAACAAGCAAACTGTACATTAAATGCACATACTGGGCCTCATTAAACGGAAGAGTGGAATTTGTGTTTGTAAAAGCATTCTTGCATTGAATTGAATGCATCGAAATGCCAACCAGCACTTTTATGAACAATTTGCACAGACATTCCTTTGTTCTGCTCTGGTTTTATGAATGAAGCCCAGTATGTGCTGTGCCTTATGGTATACCAAAAGTATCACACAAATCTAGGTATCAGAAAATATTTCATTCTCATTTTATTTTCATGAATAATATAGAGATGCTTAAATATTTTTTTCCTTAGACTGTTATCTTGTATTTTTGGTGTTATATGACCTGAAATTGTTTATCGGACTGTAACTGGTTATGGCCTTAGATTTGTGTATTGTTCGTGACATTGCTTTTTATTTTTTTTACCACTGTGATGTCGTTAAAATATTGCATGTTTATTGTTAATGACTGAAGATGCACACACACACACACACAAAAAAAACACTCGGCTTTACTGTTTTGTAATATATTTAATAAACTTGTGCCATTATTTCCAAAGAAATACAGCCTCACGATTAAATTTATCTTCAATCTATATGAATACATGGTTATATTTAATATGATTGAAGATGCATACACACACACAAAACTCGGCTTTAATGTTTTGTAATATATTTAATAAACTTAGAAAAATATACACTGGCACAAGTGCCATCATTTCCAAAGAAATACAGCCTCACAATTTACATTTTTATCTTCAATCTATATGAATACATGATTAATTCTAATATAGTAATTACAATGAATACATAAGATAATAGGATATTAATAAAATATCCTATTAATTTTTTTTTTTTTTTTTTTATGTTGCTGGTAAAGCAAAGGTATAATAGATTTATTTTATATTTTATTTGACATTTTCTGAAGAAACTTCCAAGGTGTCATGTGTGGTTGCTAGTTGGTGGAAGTCAAAAGGGTCCACCCTTCAGTCAGAATGATATTCAGTCTCTAGAGTTGTGTAGATTTATGGTACACGTTCACCACTGCAGTACACCAGGGCAGTACTTATCAATGAGAGCCTGATAATACGGCCTCAGACTCTCCACGTCCGGTAGTTCAGTGCTCTTGGTATACAAATCAAACTTGCTGTCCGAGGAAAGACAAACAGACGCATGTTATTGATCTTCCTGTAGAAACTCGCTGCGTGAGGTCAGATCTTCAATATGTGGGGCACACAACTGATAAAATGGAATCACAGATGAGATACTCTTATTGAGAAACTGATAGCATACTTAAACTCTTTGACCCAGGGAAGCATCTGCAGGTCTTTCTCGTTGCATAAGTGCATGTAGTCTCCGTTTGAGTGCCAGGGGTAGAACGAGTGGAAGCGGATCATGTAAAGACCCTGAAGGAATTTGGGAGTGTTAAATGTACAAAAGTATCTTATAAAAGTGTAAATCACATTATATTGTGTGTGTGACATTACCTCCTCAGGGATGGTGCATTTGTTGAACTTCATTACCTGGTACAGATACTCTAGAATAGTGCAATAAGAATGTCCACTTAGTCACTTCAGCAGCAAATACAGTTTGGGGTCATAATATTGAAATGTTTCTTATGCTCACAGAGGCAACATTTATTTAATCAAAAATAACAGTAATATTGTGAATTTATTTTTCTTCATATTAACTGTTTTCTGTTTGAATTTATTTAAAAATCTAATTTATTCCTGTGATGCAAAGCTGAAATTTCAGCATCATTACTCCAGTCTTCAGGGTCACATGATCCTTCAGAAATCATTGTAATATGCTGATTTGCTGCTCAAGAAACATTTCTTAGTATTATCAATGTTAAAAACAATCTGAAAAAAAAACTTTTTTCTTCAGGATTCTTTTTTTTTTATTAAAAATTTCAACATTTATTTGAAATAGAAATCTTTTATAACATTATAAATTGGAGGTGGGAATCTTTTGGAACCCCATGATTTGATTCAAAATGATTCTTGGGGTCATGGATTAAAAATCAATTCTTGATTTTGAATCTAATTTCTATTTGATATATTGATAGTTTTAATTTTATTTATTTGAACTAAAATCAAAGTGAAACTGAAAATATAAAGGGAAATAAAATGATTACTTTAAAGGATTAACGTGCAGTGGTCTGTCAGAGTGCCTTGGTAATTGCTAATACTAGGTATATCATTCATATTCATCAACTTTTCCACTGGTACAGTTTTATTTTTGTGTTTTTAAGGGGCTTGTTTTGCTGTTTTTTGTAAAACCTGGCAACCCATCACCTGGAGTTTTAATGAGGAGAAGGAAGACTTCAGAAGTGTGTTGAAGGAGAGCTAGTGTTTGGTCGTGAGTTATTTAAAAAAGTATTTTTAATAATGACACCTTGTAGCCACGTTATTATTTTACACTAGTTGAGACGTATCGAATCAAAGGAAGTGATTATCAGCTGATTCTGATCGTTTGGAGTTAGAAAAATATAAGACTTGCTTTCTCAATATTAAGTGATTTGGCCTCAGATACAGAATATGTTCATTGCCTTTTACAAGCAGGTATTGACATCTTCCCAGGCCCCTGGTCTTTACTGTCACTTTTGATCAATTAAAACATAAGAACAACTCAAACCTCAAATGTTTGAACGGTAGTGAGTGTTTCGCAATGAGACATTGGATGCAAAATCATGATGACGTTATGTGTAATGATCCTTCAAATCACTCACCATCATGTCCCCAAGACATCAGGACATTATCAAGCCCAGATTGAGGTTTATAGATCCCAAATTCTGTGCTGCATTAAGAGAAGTAAGCAAACACTACATTATCAGGTGGAATGCTAAAGAATGCAATGCACATTTTATTTCTATGTTGACATAGGATAACATTATTATCTTTACTCATTTACTCGCCCTCATGCTTTTCCAAACCTGTATGACTTTCTTTTGAGGAACACTAAAGCACCACAAAAGCCTTATTGAGAAGTGTGGGCATTCTTCAAAACATCTCCTTTTGTGCTCCATGGACAAAAGACAAAAGTCATACACGTTTGAAACGACATGAAGCGACTGGTATTCCTTTACCATGTTATAATAGTTTGTGTATATTCAGGAACAATGTTGTTATTGTTAACTAACACTTTTTAAAATCATTTATAAATCTGAAATAAAATATAATGCATATTAGATGAGAAAAATTGAACTTAAAATACTTATGAACATGAGAAATGTACTAAATTGACCACAACTTAAATGAAAGCTAAATAGAAATGTTTAGAACAAACTAAATCTAAAATATAAATGTATATATTAAAAGAAAAAATGCATACAAAACTAAAATAAAAACGACAAAAGTGCATAAGATGTGTTACTACTGTCAAACACTATAATATATAAATAATACTGTAATATCACTGATCAGGAAAGCCGTTTTGATCTTTCGAAGATAAGTGTATTTGTGTTTTGAAAGGTGTGTAGCTGTACTTGAGTGTTGGGTTCTTCACATCCGGATTGCCTTCAAATGTCGAGTTTCTGAACACTATTGAATTCTGGAACTTGCATCCCACTGGGAATGTGTCTCCAACTACGGCCCACTGAAACACACAAAGCAGCATTCTGATTGCATATCATTTAGCCCATGTGACCGTCGTAGGGTTTTAGACTGTGTTTGGATGCATTTGTCTCTCACCTGTGGTTCCCCATACAGTGCCATGATTTTTCCAATGTCATGGATCAGACCAACTAGCTGGAACCAATCTGGAGACAGGTAAAAATGAGATCTGTGCTTTTAAATTCAGTTGCAATGTTGTATTTTAACATTCGGCCAAAGAAGAATCTCCACGATGAACATTCACATTTAGATATGGATTTCAGTCCTGAAAGAAGCCCAGCAGGTATGGACATATTAATCAGAAACTGGACAAAAACAAGCGTAAAACACCATCTTATCTAAGTACAATGTAAGTGACTCCTGTGACCTTTGTCCCTGCTGACTCCTCACCTTTATCAGGATGCTCTTTGCGAATTCCCTCGGCGGTCTGGAAAGCATGGAAAGAGTTCGGGAAGTCAACATCAGGGTCGGATTCGTCAACAAGCTCGTCCAGGGAATTGATGTTTTCCATCATGGTCATGCTGAAGTGATTGCAATTCGCCCAATCCAGGTGCTAAAGGTGAGAGGCCGTATTCAGTGTCATCACAGAGCATCTTCATTTTATTCTAGTTTAACTTCAACAGAGAAACATGTCCAGTTGAACTAGAATTAACTTTACTATGTGAGTAAAGCTTGCAATATAGATAAGGTTCAATGGAGACAGATTTTAGTTTTGAGTGCGTCTGCATTTATTTGTATCGGTTGAATCAGCACAGGGCTCTTACTTACTTTATTAGAGATGCATTTTATTTATTTTGATTTTTACCTGCTATTTAGTGTCAAAAACTGACATACATACATACATACAAAGACCAACCTTTTGTTTGACAAAGTCCAGCGTTTGGCACGTGTGCATCTGCTTGTATGTATTAAACACACGGTCAAAGAGATCTCCACTCTGTATTAGACGTACACACATCAAAATGGAAATAAGTGTGTCATATTAAGAGGAATTATACATGAATAAGTTAATAATATGCCAAGTTCCAAATTTTACTGTACCTCAAAGTTCCTGAATTCTGTTTGGTCTTTCTCGTGACATTCGGGGCGATATGCCAGAGAAGGATCCGGACCCTAAGAGTAAAAGTTGATGTGTAAGAAATAAGACTTAAAAGACAGAGACCAACTTAAGTTAACTACCAACTCAAAACAACAGTTGGATTGACAGTTTTCAGTATTGCAGAGTCATTCATGTATAATGCCTACAACTCAGTGAGGAAATGATGAAACATGAATGTAAGTAAATGTCTGAATGTCAGCTACATACCAGGTTCACCACCCTCATGGTTCAGCTGAGATCGTGTCGTTCAGGATGGAGGAGGATGTTGTGTGTTTGGCGTCTCTGAGTGCTCTATTTATAAATGGTGCACATATGGGGTCTCTGAACTGTAGTGGGAATAACTAGTAAAACTTTAACTTTCTCCAGTTCACTTTCTCTCTGATCCTTCTAGTGGTGTGTGTGTGTGTGTGGGTGGGTCAGTTTGTGTGTCTCTCACTACTTGGGTATTTTGGCCCAAATACAGCGGACTGATTCAGAAAAGAAATGCTCTACCATTACAGTGACTAAGGGCATTTGGTTCAATAGTATTTTAAAGAATTTACATTTTTATATTATATTATATTATATATTATATTTACATATTTGTAGTGTTTTATTGAATTGTTTTGTTTTAGTGTGGTTTTGTATAGTTTCATTATTTGGCTTTGATTTTAATTTATTTTTACAGTAGGTTTTTTATTTAATTTTAAGCTTCTTTTTGACATCAATCAACAATAAATCTAAGTAAAATATGTTTTGAATATTTTGCTTTGATTGCAGCAGGTTTTCTTTAGTGTCATGTTTGTAGTTTCTTATTTGTAGATCATCTCTAAACTGCAGTGTTGTTTGTTTCACCAGAACGTTCAGAGACTTCAGATTGATAACTGTGTGTGTGTGTGTGCGTGTGTCAGTGTGTGTAATGTGTGTGTGTGTGCGTGTGTGTGTGTGTGTGCGTGCGTGCGTGTGTGTGTGTGTGTCAATGTGTGTGTGTCAGTGTGCTCTTGTTTTTATTACATTGTGAGGACCAAATGTCCCCACAAGAACAGTAAAACGTGAAATCACCTACATTGTGAGGACTAGCCAATGGTCCCCACAAGGGAAATTGATTAATGAACATACTTAATGATGTTTTTTAGAAAATGTAAAAGAGCAGAAAGTTTTCTGTGATAGGTAGGTTTAGGGGTAGGGTTAGTGTAAGGGGACAGAATATAATACAGTTTGTACAGTATAAAAACCATTATGTCTATGGAGAGTCCCCACAAAGATAGTGGACCAGACGTGTGTGTGTGTGTGTGTGTGTGTGTGTGTGTGTGTGTCAGTACTGGGATATTTTGGCCCAAATACAGCGGAATGATTCAGAAAAGACATACTCTACCATTACATTGACTAAGGGCATTGGGTTCAATAGAAATTGAAAGAATTTATTTTACATTATACATTATATGTACATATATTTAGTGCTTTATTGAGTTGTGTTTTAGTGTGGTTTTCTTAGGTTTCACTATTTGGCTTTGTTTTAAATTCATTTTTACATTAGGTTTTTTAATTAATTTAAATTAAATTGTTGACACAAATCAACAATAAATCTAAGTAAAATATGTTTTGAATATTTTGCTTTGATTGCAGCAGGTTTTCTTTAGTATTATGTTTGTAGTTTCTTATTTGTAGATCATCTCTAAACTGCAGTGTTGTTTGTGTCACCAGAATCTTCAGAGACTTCAGATTGGTGTGTGTGTGTGTGTTTATATATATGGTTTATGAGGACACAAATGTGTATAATGACATGGGAATTACAAATTCATTTCATTTCATTTCATTTATTTATTTATAAAGCACAATTAAAACAACATGGTGTTGACCAATGTGCTGTACAAAACACACAATAAAATTACATAATAAAATGTGTTTTCAGACAATACAACAACTAACAAATATCTGTAAAGAGCCTCCAAATAACCTACCAAGTTAACCTACTGATCCAAACGCTAATTCTAGTAAATGCAATTTTAAATTTCGTTTAAAATAACTTCGAGAGGGAGCAAGTCTAAGGTGTAAAGGTAAATTATTCCAGCGCTTTGGAGCTGCCACTGCGAAAGCCCGATCACCACTCAATTTTAATCTAGTCCTTGGAATGTCTAGGATCATCTGATTTGCTGATCTGAGAGACCTAGAAGGTTTATGCATATGAAGGAGATGCTCACGTCACGATATGGTGGGGCTAAATTATGTAATGCTTTATATACAAATATCAATCATTTAAAATCAATTCTGAACTGCACTGGCAACCAATTAAGTGAGGCTAAAATCGGAGTCACATGCTGCTTTTTACGAGTCCCTGTTAAAAGTCTAGCAGACGCATTCATGACCAATTGAAGGCGATTCAACAGTACTTGGCTGACACCTACATACAACGAGTTACAGTAATCCAGTCGTACAGAGATAAAAGCATGAATAATCTTCTCAAAATCACTTGTGGACAAAAACGGTTTCACCTTTGCTATTGATCTTAAATGAAAAAAGCAAGATTTTACTACAGAATTAATCTGTTTGTCAAATTTCAAAGAACTGTCAAATTGGACACCAAGGTTTTTCACTGTATATTTACAAAAAGGGGTTAGCTCGCCCAGGTCAAAATAATTTTTTGTGTCAGGAGTCCCGAACCAAATTACTTCTGTTTTACTTTCATTCAGATGCAGAAAATTATCTGACATCCAAGATTTAACTTCTTGTAAACATCTAATTAGTGACTCGAAATATTTTTTGTCCTGTTTCCGCAATGGTAAATACACCTGAGTATCATCCGCGTAACAATGAAAGGATACTCCATGCTTAAGAAAAATAGAACCTAAGGGTAGCATATATAACGAAAACAAAATTGGGCCCAGAATAGATCCTTGGGGAACCCCACTAGACAGTGGGGCCACTTTTGATTGATGTTGACCAAAATTAACAGAAAACGTCCTATTAGACAAATAGGATCTGAACCAATCTAGTGCCATGCCCTTAATTCCCACGTTTTGTTCCAGGCGGGAGACTAGGATATTATGATCAATAGTATCAAACGCTGAACTAATATCCAGCAAGACTAAAACTACAGAGCTACCAGAATCAATTGCAATGAAAATATCATTTAGAACTTTCAACAAAGCCGTCTCTGTACTATGGTTCGATCTAAATCCTGACTGAAATTTTTCAAAAGTCTCATTTTGATCTAGAAAAGTCTGCAGTTGGTTTAATGCGACTTTTTCAAGAAGTTTGGATAAAAATGGTAGTTTCGAAATAGGCCTATAATTAGATAAGACATTTGGGTCCAAATTCATTTTTTTCAAAAGAGGCTGTACAACAGCATGCTTAAAGTCCATTGGGACTACTGCAGTTTGGAAACTTCTATTGATTATAGTCAAAATACTGGGTCCAATAATATCAAAAGCATGCTTAACTAATCTAGATGGAATAACATCACTGCCACAATTAGTAGGTTTCAACTGCCCAACTAGCTCAGTCAGAGAAACAAAAGAAATAGGTAAAAATCGATCAAACACAGCAGAGGAGAAACAAGAAGGAACTGTGAAATCATATGAACAAGATACAACTTGTGTTCTAATGTCATTAGTTTTCTGTACAAAGAATCTGAGCAGATTTAGCAAATTAAACATAATTTATGAGGACACTTCCTGCGTCCTCATATTTACCTGAAATATTTGATCTTGTGGGGATGTTTTTTTGGTCCCCATGAGGAAAAAGGCTTATATATCATACAGAGTTATGTTTTTTGAAAATCTAAATGCAGAAAGTTTTCTGTAATAGGTAGGTTAAGGATTAGGGTCAGAAGATAGAATATACAATTTGTACAATATAAAAATTATTATGTCTAAGGGAAGGCCCCATAAAACTTGGAAACCCAATGTATGTGTGTGTGTGTGTTTTGTGTTTACAGTAGGTTACACCCCTGGTTTTTATTGGCTGATAGTTTGTGGGCAGAGGTGGAAAGAGTAATAAAATATTCTACTCAAGTAAAAGTACTACTACTTCAATTAAATTTTACTTAAGTACAAGTAAAAGTACCGGTCTAAAAATCTACTCAAGTAAAAGTAAAAAGTAGGTCATTTAAAATTTACTCAGAGTAAAAGTTACTGAGTTACTTTTTTAACAGCGTGGGTGGGGGACTCTCCCGTGTAGGCTTGTAATGGTATGAGATTTTCACAGTATGATAACGTCATTATTAAATAAATAAACTATACTACTGTATTGTTAAATTATGGGTATTATTATTATTATCATCAGTTAAAATGACAGTTAAATTAATGAAAACAGGATTTTTTTTTTGGATGAACAAATGCTTTTATTATAACAAACTTGAAACCATTTGTTTGTTGTGTTTATTAAAATTTCAATAAAACATGTCTAATCAATTAAATTTTATAACAGATAATGAATTAGATTAACAACTTATTTTTAACATTAATAATTTATTAAAATGTTTAAGAAAAATATTGTCCTATGAAATGTATTTTATTCAGAAAATTAATGTTTCTTTTTATGATTTAATCCAAATATATTATCAAAAACGGTTGTAATCAAATGTAAATTTAAAATTGTGTCCTTTTATTTTTTGGGGAAGCGCTGCAAAAACAGATTTACTAAATTAAACCATGGACAAAAAATATATTCCTTTAAATAATGTTTAAATAAAATGTATTATTATTGTTGTTATTATTATTATTTAGAGAAGTAGGCTACGTTCTATTGTATGCCTATAATAGTAATATATTTCTGTCCTAATTTCTCCTATAAACCAAACTTTTATTTTGACGGGTTGTAGTGAAGACCAAAAGTGTAAAAAAGTGTTTCAAAGTGTATTTAACAATGGTTTATCTCAAATAAAATTATGAAAATGCTCATTAGGCGTTCTCTCAGAGCAGCTCTGGAAATGTTCATGTATCCTCCATCCTCATCCTCCAATTGTTTGTGAGACTCTGAATGTCACGCGTACTTGAGTATGTAGTAGCCTAGACAAAGCGGCGCAGCTCAGCAGAACAAATAGGGTTATATTTACTTGCAGTATTTTTGTGCTTAGCTTAAATATTCACAGACCATGTCGCGATTGGATTTATTGCACAGTTCTACTTTCCATGTATTCATCCATCCATTATTTTGCGTGTTTTACGTGACATCTGTTATGTAAATTTCATTTTCATGACTGGATTCCGGGATTCCCTCTGCATCACGTAAATCGGGACATACCTTTATCTGCAGGAGGGATGGTGTCCTATATCCTCCTTTTGCAGCCACTTTGCGTCCACATGTTTTGCAAATTGGATATCTATCCTCGAGGAC